ATTCCCTTAGCTTATAAACTTGAATAGACCCTTGTGTCCATTGAATGTGTACAACAGTCCATGTGGGACGAGGACGAGTAATACTTGTTGCATAGTTGAATTACTTTGCACTTTATTTTTATTTTTTTGCTAGTGGCATTACTTTGTTCCTATTTACCTGTGCATAGGTGCATTAGTTTATTCCTTACTGATTCTTAACCAATTTCGGTTGGCATAAAGTTATATACATAAATATATCAAAGGTGCTGGTCATCATCTGATGATGGTAATATTAATGAAGATGAATATATATGTGTGTGTAGACACACCAAAAAAGATTAGGGTCCATTAACATATAAATGTACCTAAAATTTTAACTTGGTTCATAATTTCTACCAATTTGCAAAAAAACCAAAATGGTTCATAACAAAACACTATATAATCTCATATCCAAAGTCATTTCAATTCATAACAAAACATCACAAAGTTTCATAACCAAGACCACTTCGGTTCATAACAAAACACCACTAAGTCTCGTAACCAAATTCAATTTGGGTCATAACAAAAATTAATACAAAAAGTCAGATAACCAACCACAACAAAACCTCAAAACCATGCCAACCACAAATTTAAAATAACCCAAAATCTCATAACTAATCACCAACATTCATAACTAAGTTCACAAATCTTCATAACTTTTCCTATTATTATTCCTTATTATTAAGGATTAATTACGCCAAGACCCTCTCAACTATTAGCAAGTATTACTTTACTCCCCTCATTTATAAATCCATACATATTGTACAAATACACATATTTTGAAGGTGGTAAGGTGATTTAGAGGGGGGTTATTTTCGTAATTGAAGATGCCAATATGTATGGATTCATAAATGAAGGGGTAACTTGATATTTGCTAATAGTTAAGGAGTCCTAGTGTAATTAACCCTATTATTAATATATTGTTATGATCATAATGTTGAGTTATTGGTTTACTTTGTTCAAATGTAACAACAATTTGATTATTTACATTTTCTTTTCTACGTGATTTATTTTTTTATTTATTTATTTTGGTAATTAATTTCTACATGATTGTATTATAAACTTCACTAAACAATCAAGATGACCAATTGGGTGGTAAACTTTGTATGCTTATGTCCAGTTCTTTAGTTCTGGTCCAGTCCCTCATCGCCAACTAAGGATGCATAAGGCATCTCAGAATTATAAATGTTCCGGTATTGCAAGGCAATGTAACGTTTTTACACGGGAGATGATATGACCCAGCACAAAAAGGCTACACCTGACAGGTATAGCTTTGGCTAGTGAACATATTCGAGTCAAGCCATGGTTAGTTCAAGCTTAGCTCGATTGTTTAATGAGTCATGAACATAGCTTGAGCTCATTTGTTTTTTAAATGAACCGAGTTTGAGTGAGTCTCAAATGACCAAAACTCGAGCTATTTATGAACAATTCGATTCGTTTGCAGTTCTACATACACAATTTAAGACCTATATAAACTTATTTCCTATTTCTTTATTCAAATTTGTTCTTCATAAAAGAAATTATAATGGTGAGATAAGACACCTACATTCCATTGAAGGTAAAGGTGTTCATGTGATTTTTGGTTCATGGAGACATTTTGACAAATGATACATTGCAAAGAAAGAGACACAATCGAGTTCTAAATCCTTAATGGTGCACTACGTGTTGTGAGAATGGTGAATCAGTGGATCATTTACTTTTACATTGTCTAGTTGCTTTGAGCCTATGGCATAGATTAATTTTTTTTAAGGAATGTTATGTGCGTGGCCCCAAAAGGTAGTGGGCATTTGCTTCTAATTGACTTTCGTGCTCTGGGAGGATCGAGTAAGGCTAAGTGCTTTGGTATTGTGCCGTCTTTGTAACTTTTTGGGTTTAACGGTTGAAAAGGAATGCATAGGTTTTCAAAGATAAATCTCGAGATGTGAATTTTTGTGCAAGAAAGTTTGTCACTTATCTTCATTTTAGGCTTCGGTGACTCATATCTTTAAGGGGATTCCACTGTTTTTGTTAATTAAAGATTGATTGTCTGTGTGTGACACATATAGTATTTTGGTGCTGAGTTTTGTTTTGAGTTTTGCACTTTTACATTTATTTGCTTTCACTTGTAGAGGATGCCTAACAGAGATAAGCTAATCGTCAAAGTGAACCTAGGTAAAGTGACAAATACAAAAATCGATCATGCAAGCAGACACATAATAAACATGAATGGATTTATTAGTAAAATCCAGTCTGATTATGAAATTGATTAAAGGATCTTGCTAACAAATGCCTCTAAGGCACAAGTTAAAAATAAAAAATTTAAAAAACACGAGATATTTTTTATTAAATTCAATACACTTTTATTGAAATTAATACATTTTAAAAATATTTTTACATATTTTCAATAGACTTTTTATACACTTTCCAACATTAAACAATTCTCATGAGACACTTGTTAGCATTTGCCTATTCTAAAAACAAAACAAGAATGCATGAGTGAGTGGACATTGGCATTGATGATGTGGTTATGCATGATGTACATTCTTTTTAATAATATTAGAATGATGATATTTATTTGACTCTTAGGCCAAGTTTGGCATGTCTTGAAAAAGACAAAAAGTCAAAAAGTCACTATCCTATTTAAATCACATCATCTTATTTAAGTCACATCACCTCTCTAACACATCACTTCAAACCCAACCCAAACCCAACCCATATTTCATAAAAAGTCAAAAAGTACACTTATTTAAATCATCCCAAACAACCCCTTACTAACAAGTGTCCTAGGCACAAGAAAAAGACAACATATATGTCAATCTCAATACATTAATTACTAAATTCAATATATATTTTTTTTTTATGAATTTCAAAACACTTTATAATCTCTTTACACTTCAATACACTTTTTCTTACCTTCCCAATATTAACAAGTGTCATGGAGAAAATATATGTCAATCCCAATACATTTATTACTGAATTCACTATATATTTTTTTATAAATTTCAAAACACTTTATAATCTTTTTACCCTTTTTCAAGACGTTTTTTCTTACCTTCCCAATATTAACAAGGCTCATGAAGGCATTTGTTAGCATTTGCCTATTTATTTATTATTTTTATGTATCATCTCATATATCATGATTATATTTTATTATTATATTCAAATAATAGATTAAAAAAAATACATCAAGTTCAATTAAAAGTAAAAACAAAATCTATATTAAACTTAAAATTATATTTTGTATACTTTTTAATAAATTGGATATAATTACTAAAGAGATTAACAAATGTCATTATAATATTAAAATATGTAACTAATTATTTATTATACAGGTTATTTGTATTAGTTTTGTGTTATACAGCTTTGACACTAAGCTGACATGCTTAATATCCATGTTATCAGGTCGTGTCATATATACGGGTGTGCATGGTTCGGATTGGGGTAAAACCAGAACTAATCCGTCATCTACGGTTTCTGAAAAATTAGAACCAATCCAATTCGTTTAAATCGTGGAACCAATCCGAATCAATCCATTTAAACACGGATTGGATCAGTTTAGGGCCACGGATTCACCTAATTAAATAACAAAAAAAATATATAGAACATTTTAATTTCTCACAAATATAAACATAATATCATATTAGTTTCACAATAGCAACATCTTTTTCTATAATAGCGACATACTGTTCTAGAATTTAAACAACCATAAAAAAACTGATGTCATCATACATATTTAAACTATTACAATTTAAAATTAAAAACTAACAAACAAAAACAATAAAAGAAGATATTATACGGGCTTAAATTTGGATTTAGATTTTATATAGAATAAGGGAAAATACTATGCTAGGAGGGTGTATAAAATAAATATAGGCTATTTGTATACGGTCTCGATCGGTTCCAATCCGAAACCGTGGGGTTCAATCCGAAACTGATCCGTGGACTACGAATTTTTAATTTATCAATCCAGAACCGAACCACGGATTCAAAAAACCAATCCAAATCTACCGGATTGAACTGGACTGAATCAAATTACGAATTTTACGGATTCCTTACTCAACCTTAGTCATATACGTGGTCGTGTCAGAAAATGATCACCCCCAACCTGCTAATTTTGTGTATGATTCGAGCTATGTTATCATGCTATGTCACAAATTCCACCCGAAACTTCAATCCACAAACCATGAGAGGGCTACGTTGTTATTTCCAAACAAAAGGAAAATAATCCACACATGGAGTCCGCAATTTTGTAGACTCTATGAGACATTTCCTTACATTACTACAACACAAATATAAATAATAATCTATATTATTATATAAAATCAACTCTTGAGTTAGTGTAAATGTTATAATTTTTAAATTTTTCCAAAATACTCCTAAGACTTAAATAATTGCTTAAATCTAAACTATTTTACAATAAGTGCTATATTTTATTAAAATTTCATACACACTGTTCGGCAAGAGTTTTTTGTTTGTTTGTTTGTTTTTTTTTTTTTTTGTTTTTTTTGTTTTTTTGACTAAAATAGTCAATAAAGACAAAAAGACTAAAATAACCAATAAAATAAAATATCACATCTTACACAACAATCAATTATTTTTTCTCTCATAATCATCTATTTAATTACAAAAAAATAAATAAAATAAATAAAATTCACAAATCATCCCAAATCTAACTTTTTTGCATCTCATAGAATAGTCAAAAAATCAAAAAAACTAACCAAAATAGCCAAATTTTCAAACAATGCGTAGGGTGTGACCAAAAAAAAATAAAAAACACCTGTACAAATACAAATGTAAGCAATTTCATAGTTATTAAGAGAGTTAAATATACATTTCAAAATTAAAGAGGAGAAAATAATATTAAAAAATAGTTGAGAAGCCAATAGTATAATTAACTCAAAATTCTTTTTAAAACATTTTTTCACAAATTTTGAAAATTGTTATCATTCCTCTGGAAACAAAAACAGTTACCAAAATATTCTAGTTCTTGAAAACAAAAACCAGAAAACAAGAAACAAAGACAAAGGAACAGTCTCTTTGCTTCATTACACAAAAAACATATATTATCAGGTAGAAAAATCCGAAGAAATGCTACCTCTATAAAAACACAGATTTCTTATGATACACACGCTAGCACTTCCATGGCTAACACAAAAAAAAGAAAAGAAAAAGGAATAAGCCAACCCCAATAGGAAAAGGGCAAAAAGGAACGAACCATCTCAATATGCACAGAACCCCTTCACAATCACCTTGCAAACTCGAACACTCGTGGCTTGCAATCCCTAAACTCATCCTTGGGATTTGTTTATCTCTAAACATCACCCTTTGGGGGGGTTCACTGATTGGTGATGGGGCCATTTCTCCAATTTGCATGGCATATTGCTCTTAACTGCCCTTAGTTGTCCGCGGACTAGTGCTGCTAGCAATGGCAACAGAAGAGACAAACTTCGAGACAAGCACAGCCTCATTGCTAACAACAGCCTTGGACGCTGCCACATCTTCCAGGCGTTTCCAATTTGATTCCCGCTTCTCCTGAACTTCCTTCTCCTTAATTTCGTCTTCTTGAAACCTAACTAGGCACTCATCGACAAGTGCTTGGTCAGCATCTGAAAATATCTTTATCACATTAAGCGTCAGGCTCTGAACAGCTTGGTTCCAGTGACTTCCTGTGTTTCTCTCCAAAGCTGGGAAAATTATGGGCAGTATCACCTTACGGTTTTGAGTAATCAGATTCCTAATGTGATCGTTGTTCCAGAGGAACAACGCCCGCTCAGCCACCTGCCAGACAAAAACAATTATTTCAAGGATAGCAAGAGGTACATAAATCATATTCAGGGGGTAAACCTAGTAGAATACAAATATCAAAAGCCTTTGATTTGGATTTGTATGATGCATTATTTTATCTTGATATGATTTTACGAAAAGAGCCGAATATATGTTTCAGGCCGACTACAAAAAATTTATCATCCAAATCCCGTGTTTCAGGATCCATGTAGTAGGCCCCGACTAGTTGGGATTAAGGCTAGCCAAGTTTGAGTCGAGTTACAGAAGTTAAATCAAGGCTTGAATAACAAGCACTGAAGTTGTTTATTTGTCTGGGAAATATATTGTGTAGTGCATCTAGGCAGGTCTAAAAATCCAAAAAAGGTACTCCGCAGTTGATATGGTCATCTTGAATGTTGTCCTAGGAAGACTATACTTGTCTAATCCCTTGGCCATTTGCCTACTAGATGGTCTTTGCTTAAACTTTAAATCATTACATTCAAGTCATGTTTTATTGATCTCTTCACCCCATGCATAGAATTCTTTTACAAGAGAAATCATCTTCTCCCATCTTGGTCTTGGACCTAGATGAAATATAGTTAGTTGGGCTATTCCATGTGTGAGATTAGAAAAAAAGTAAACTTTCCCTGGCCATTAGAAGCCGAGGAAAGTGAGAATGTAAAGACGCATTCTTCTTTTCTAACCTTCATAGTAACTGTTTCCACTTGACCTACTTGGATTGATGCCACAGCTGCCATCTTTCTGAAACTGAATGCAATAATCATACCCACATCTTTCTCATAGGTTTTTTGAAAATTAACAACTAGATTATGCTTCAGTAGACGTGCAGGTTTAAATGACTAATCTTGGGCTAGGAAATGTATTTAAAGGTAACTTGGTTGGGAAACAAACAAGAAGTTGCTTCAAAAACAAAGGGAAACAAGAAATTGAAAGAGAAGGTATATGCATGTGAAAATCATTGCACCATTACGTGGATACAAGCTATCAGTAACAAGACAAAATACTTTTTTAGTTTATTTGCCACTATAGAAATCCTTTACGATCAATATTTCAGTATATTTTGTGTGATGATGACAAGATTTTAGGAATTATATACACCTTCACACATTCAACTTTATTGATTCATATCTTTGAAGTTTTATTGATATCATCTTATGGTTCTCTCATGAACAAACTTCTGTTAGGACCTTTTCTTCCCAGCATGGGAAGAAAGTAAAATTGAATTTTGGCGAGTTAAACATCCTTCGCATCTATTTGACTCAATCAATTCCGATTTCCTTAGGTTTAGTTGCTATCCTTGCATATATATTTCCACATATACTTTATACTTTCTGGAATACATTTCCTCGCGTTAGAATTTATCCCTATTTGTAGCTGTGAATTTTCCTCATTGCTCTCCTAATAATTTACTCTTTATCAATAGGAAAGATTTTTATTTTTATTTTTAAGTTTCTTTTGTTGTTTTCAATTAATGTCTGGTGCATGTCAATGCACAGGGGCTATTTTTTCATCTATCTTCACAATTACAGGTAACATTACCATAGTTGCATGCCACTGCTACTCCGATGACTTCTCCATGAGGCCACATGGTTGGGGACCTTCTCTATCGTGCATACTAGATTCTCTAAGCTACGCTTCTCCCCCTCAGGGAGAAAGAGCAACATACATTAGGTTGGTCACTCACTCCCCCATAGGCTAGCTTCCCCCCGCTTTTAGGCTCTAAGAAGCTAGCTAGGGGATCGTTCCTGAACTCCTTCTATGAAAGAGTATCAACAACGCCTTTCTATAAAAGAGTATTTAATGATACATATTAGTATCCTAGAGTGAACCTCTAGCAAGGAGGTTCACTCTCTCTGATAATGTATTCCGGATATAATATATATTCTTTCTTCTGCTTTCTACTGATACGCGTAGATCTTCTTCATTTCCCTTTGATTTCCTCAGTTTACTCCTTCAATCTTCTTTTTCTACCCATTCCTCTTTATTTTTATGTTTTGATAGAGGGTTTCCTTTCTCAAACTCCTTCGATCTTATTTCGGATGTCTGGTGACTAATGGCTCCTTTGGCCTAGAGTTTCGTTACCCTTGATCTAGGGTATTGATATGTAAGAATTTATGTATTAGAGAGGTCTTGCGAGTTGATGGAGGTCTCAAATTGGTTGAGGTCCGGCGGGTGGCTAAGGCGAGGTTGCCGCCCGCCGGTGAAGCGAAAAATATTAAATTCTTAACCTTGCTCTGATACCATGTAAGAATTTATGTATTATTTGATCTAGGGTATTGATATACTTCAGTCCCTTTCATTTTTGCCCTTCCGCTTTGATCTAGTCAACAAAGATTTAAGGTTTTTTTTTTTTTCGGGCTTCCTTCCCCTACATTCCCTTCGTTTTGCTGGTATAGCACTAGATCGTTTTTGATATAGAATTGTTCTATTTTGCTTCATTTTCTTAGTTTTTAGCAAAGAGAATCTTTGATCTGAATCTTGGTTTAGGATGCAGAAATTTTTGGTTAAGGCTACAGAACCATAGGCCTTTCTGGACTAAATGAAGGGCAAGTCATAGGCAGAAGATAGAGATGGAACAGAGGCAAAAGATAGTCTCTATGGGTCGAATTACTGGAATGGAAAGGGTTGGGGGCTTGCTAGTTGCTACAGTGGGATGGTAGTCGAAGGTGGTGGTGACTGAAATAGATATATAGGAGAGATAAGTTTGTTTTCTGTATGCACCACGTGTACAAGGTTGCATCCTTTTTGTGGCACACTGGCACATTATTATTAATAAAATTTATATCAATAGAAAAGGTGGGGTTGAGTTGCACTTCTGTTGCTGCTGCTGTTGGTTGTGGGTTGACTTTTGGAAGCAGACCAGGGGTGTTGTCAGACTTGCTACAGGGGATTGCAGAAGATGATGGTGGCATGTGGTGATCACAAGAGTCACAAGCAAATGGATGATCCGTCAGAGACATTCTCAAGATGAGGGAATGGAGGACGTGTCAAATGGATGGTCAGTTTGGGCCAAAACGGTTTTACAGCTGGTTCTGGAGGGGGGGTCTTACTAGAGGGAGACACGTGGGAAAAAGGCATTGGAACTAATTCGAATGGGTGGGTCTCAGGCGTGTGGTAAGTGTTAGGAGGGGTTATGGCTGGGTTTTGAAAAGAATAGATTAAGTTACGGAGTGGGCTGTAGTAAGTGTAATTGGGCTGAGAAGTGTTCATGGTCAGAGGGGGTCAGTTGAATAAGGGTATGGCAAAAGTGTTAGCCCAAGTCCAAGCGCTAAAAACAAATAAAAAAGTTGATGCATTAGGAGTGTGAGCCATATAAAGGGAAATGGGCCGAGAAGAGTAAAAGGCCAATTGGTTTACGGGGGAATAGAGATATCGGGTTTGGGCCATATCAGAGGCCAAATGGTTAGGATCCTACTAATGTCAAGAAGGCCAAGCAGGCTTTATCATCTAGTTGGGCCCAAAGCCATAAAGTTCCTAGGGTGGTCAAAAAGAAGCCCCGCCCTCCACATCTGGAAATCATTTTGCACCTCTGGGAAAACTAATAAAGACATAGTAGACGACTGAGAAGATAACAGCAATGGCAATCTGGGGGTAGTAAAGAATGAAGGAGGAGGGTCCTAGGGCGGACAAAAAGAAGCCCAGCCTGGTGCTTTCTGGGTCTAAGAAGAAGGGCTGCTCAGTGCAAGCCCAAGAGCCAAGGAACTCAGAGATTGTCAGACATTGAAAGGAGAAACTGGAAGGGATGAAAGATGATATATGGTAAGGATGTGAGGAAAATGTGGTTCAGTTGGGAAGCATGTTGCAATTGGGCATGATCTTTAGGATTTGATGGCTATAGTGGGTGAAAAACCTACGACTGTGCTTATAAAGGGGGTGGAGGAAGAAGTCAGGTGAGAGGTCTTAGCCACTTATCAGGTTCCCTAGTGAAGAATTGGAGGATGATTCGTAGAAGCCGATAAAAGCTATAGAAGAAAAACAGAGGCCTGGGGGAGGGGGAATTCTTAGAGGTTGTCCGTGGGAAACTTTTCTTTTTCTCTTTTTCCGTCTTTCTTCTTCTTTTGCACAATGGTGGTGCCCCCTTTTGCATTTTCAATTTTATTTACTTATTAAAAAAAAAAAAAACTTATGCAATGCTTATTTTAGTCTTCCTTTGGTTAGAAGTTGAATTACTTGTTATTTTAGACCACAGGGACAAATCTTGAAACTTAAGAGAGAAACTCATAGTATTGGAATCCTAAATATTTTAAATATTGATATTATTCTTTCTTTTATTAGTTGGCTTGTAGTCTTCTCCTTGAGCATTGATGAGATTCTTAGCTGGAACGAACCAACTCTGCTTGATATATGTCCTTAAGCCTCACCAAGTTTGCCATGAGTATCTCACAGAGTACATATTTTTGGGAATTGCTTTTTATATATGAATTTCATTAAGTTGATAGGCAGGATTGTTGGCCCCAATATTCAATTAAGTTAAGCAATTGGTAACACATCAAACTTGGCATCATCATAGTAACAAAGTGAGTCCAACTAAAAAAACGATATCTGTACAGGATACGTGTTTGTCAACAATAAAAATTAAATTGCTGCGAGGGACATCACTGACAATGAGATTGAAGTAGCTTTCAAGAAAAGCACCCTGAGAACATTATTGAATCCAATGCACTCTAAGGAAGAAGAAAAAAATACCAATCAAACTGAAATTCTTGAAAGCCAACTGTGAGACTGCAACATCATCTTTATTTTTAAAAAATAAAATAAAATAAGGTGTAACATCTTTCATATTCATTCATTACCAGTGAGAGACCCATGCCATGATTTTAAATAACGGTATCAGGATATGTATCCGTCTCGGTGATACGGTCATATATAGGTCAATGTTGGCAGTATTGACTGATAAATCAGTGAATTACAATATTGGAAATCCAAAACCCGGTTACGTAACATACAATACGATACAGAACAAATGATATTTAACACCCTGCCCATGAAATAATTTCCAAGGTACCAGGGACATCAAACAAGGGATCCCTTCTCCCAAACCGGAGGCCAGCTTAGCACTTGAACCATGTGAATCCCCTAAAAAGGTACTAGTAGTCTCACTCTAGTTAAATGCTTATATCACTACTGCTTACTATGGGCTACACAATTCAGTGCATGTTTTATGCCAATATGAATGTACAGCATATACAAACTATATATATCGAACATACAATATATCATAAGTGGATAATCAATAGAGTCCATGCCACAAATATTGCATAAAGAGTCATCAGTAAAAGGAAGCCAAAAGAATTGATAACTGATCATATTTAATTACTACTAACATGAATTACTCATATCTATGCACATTTCAAAACAAAAAACACTGCTTGCATATATGCACAAAAATATTTGAAGGAAATCTTAATTATATATCTAAAACTACCAATATTCAAATGGTCATGAAGGAAAGAAGAAATCAAGACAATAAATATTACTAAATTCTGTTCAGTGCAAAATCTACATCTGCTGGAAAATTATGATGTTCTCTGCAGCTAGACTAATGTTTTATGACAAATGTTGAATTGAAAAACAATAAATTCAAATTTTTTTTGATAATAAATAAATACATATATATATAAATTACAAGATCCAAAGTAGTTGACGGAGGTCAACAAGAATGGGGAATACAACGGTGAGACAGGACATGATTGTCAGATTTAAGTGAAGACGTGGCCTTACAAAGAGCAAAAGAGACGATGATGGATCATGTAGATGACCAAAAGTAGTTTGGGATCAAGGCCAACAAAAAGATACACCTTTCATATACAATCAAAAAGTGCCTCAGACACGTTTACTTAGAAGCCATGCCACATGAACTCTTCTAAATTTGTGAAATAACTGTGTTAGACACTCGACATAGAGTAAATTGGATGGGATTATGTGTCCAGCATGTCTAGTTGGACATAGACCCAACTAGTGGGTTTGTTTGGTTTGTATTTGAGAAACATGTTTTGAGATAAAAAGTACGAAAATTTGTTTGGTTTGATTTTTTTTCAAAAGATGTTTCGAAAAATTATTTTGAGAGAGAGTTTTGGAAAAAGTGATTGATTTGATGTGTATGAGAGAGAGATTTGTTTGGAAAACCTGTAAACCAAACAAGTTTTGGAAAAAAAATTTGGGAAAATTTGTTTGGTTTGATTACTTTTAAAAACTTATTTGTAGAGAATTTTTCCCAAAATTTTTTGAGAAACACAAACCAAACAAGGCCAGTATGTCTAAGTACTCGAGTTTACTGTATAATTATAGTATTATGAGCTCAATAATGGCAGATTACTCAAAGAAGTTCAAGCATGGCACATAATATGCTAGACCAAAAAAGGGTTGTGCAAGAATCCAAGTGTATCCAAGAAATGCAAGTCTACATCACCGATATGTCTTTGTCCAGCGTATTTTACCGATATTAAATACCCATTCAACGCATATAATAAAGCATGTCTAAAAAATAATAGTAAAGGAAGAACATCATTGGAATTACTAGTTCAATTTCAATAACAGGTTTGCATCCTACAGGTCTTTTTGTTTTTTTTTTCTTTTTATCAGCAACAAACAAAGATATACTAAGGCACAAGGCCAAGAAAAAATAGGATAAGGCATCCTCTACAAGGAAGACAGAACCTACAGGTCATATTGTTATAAATAGCACAATCACCATAGCCATCATAGTTGGTATTACCATTCCACACCATCCAGTCACACCATACCAATCAAAATACGGTAAGATGAGAGTATAGTTTTGTTAATTTATTTTCCAGTCAGTTCTGAATAATTTCAGCCTTAGTGGGAAATTTTGGACAATACCAACCAACTTTCAGCTCATTCCGGACAGTCAAAAAGTTCTTTCTATCCAATCACCAATGTGTAGCATAGGTCGGGGGCTAGGGGCTATGGGCCACAGAGATGCACCCGCTTTGGTGACTTGACAACACTGTCAATATATAAAAATAAGACAACTGCTATTATCACTTATCTAATTTTTTTGGACCCCCCAATTCCTACTTTTTTTTTATTACATTATACCTTGAAAAAAAATTATATTCAAAGACAATCTTTAATGGAACACCTATCCACCAAATAAAGACAACTCTACAATATTGTACACCTACCTCTCCCACCTAAACGTATTCCTCACCCACCTAAACCCAACGTACGCCTCTTCATCGTCATTCCTCTTCATCACCATTCCTAAACCCAACATTCCTCTTCATCACCATCCTAAACCCAACATATTCCTTTTCATCACCATTCTAATCCCTAAACCAGAAACCAATGACTGAATTGGAATCAAGGTTCTAAAAAGCGGTTGCGGTCGCCGTAACGGTGGCGGTGACGCGGTTGCGGTTGCGGTTGCGGGGTGTAAAGGCCGTAGTGTAACGGTTGCGGTAACCGGAACCGTGAATTTTTTTATTTTTCGCACAATTTGAAAAAAACTTACCGATATGCATATTTTTTTTCCATGATCATATTTATTGGGTTAAAAATAAATATTGATCAATTTTTGTAAATTTTTAAATATGATTCAATATATTTCATATTTTTAAATCACTATAAACTGAGTTTTTTACATTTTATTTTAATAATTAATGACTTTATATTATACAAAAAATCAATCACTAACTATTATATATAAGATAAACAATAACAAAAGTAAGAGAATAAATAAGAGTCTAAATATATATATGCATATTTTTACCAAGCCAAATAGATAATGACCACACTTATTATTATTATTATTTTCAAACAATACATAGATAGACACACACAAACAAAATGGTTTAGTGATAGCAGCTGAATAGAATAGCATAGGTCTTACAGTTTCAACAAATCAATAACATGTTCTTCATCTTCCCTTTTCTCTCTCTATCTCTTGCTCCTCCATTTTCTCTCTTTATCTTCCCTCTTCTCTCCCTCCCTTTTCTCCCATTTTCAGCTTTTTTTTGTGTGTTTTTTTGAAAGAAACAGTTTGGAACCGTTACGTAACGGTGCATAACAGGCTGTTACGGCTGTTACGGCACCGTTACGACCGCTACGGTAACCGCTACGGCCGACACACCTGTGAATCTCATTCACACTGCAAAAGCGGCCGTAACGGGTGGCGGTAACTGCCAAAACCGTTACGTTACGGTTGCGGCCGCTTTTTAAAACCTTGATTGGAATAGATGTTTGTTATTTTGTTTGTTATATTGAATTGGAATAGAAAAGAGTGAATTGAGGGTTAAGTTAACAAATGATGTTCAGTAACACAGTGCTGAAAAAATTATTTATGTTCGGCAACACAATGTTAAACAAATGTTGTTTGGTAACACAGTGCTAAAAAAATTGTTTATGCTCTACAACACAAGACTGACAAAATTGTTTGCGTTCAGCAATACAATGCTGAACCAACCCTTGGGAGGTCAACTGGCCGAATGACCGGGTGGTGAACCGGTGGTGTGATTTTGGCTCAGTTTTACATCAATGATGCAGTGGTTTTGATAAAATAGACACTTTGGTTCACTCATTTCGAATAAATCAAAGAGAGGGACTGTTGTCGTCGTTCTTCAATAGGAGAGGGATCGTCGTTGTTGTTCTTCAACAGGAGAGGGAAGAAGAGGGACCGTCTTCAACCATGATGGAGTGGGTGTGCAAAATTAGGTGGGTGTGCACTTGGGTGTGATGATAGTATGAATAGGAGTAAATTTGGTACTAAATGGGGTGATAAAAGAAATCTTATTGAAAATTAAGATAGATGCTAATAGCAGTCCTCAAAAATAAAAAAGAGAGAAGAAAAAGAATAGTTGTCCAACTCGATATAAACCAAAATGTTACCCGTATTTATGGCTTTTATTTTTAAATTTTTTTCTCGTATATTAAAGTGTTGACCGTATTTGTGTTTCTTAGAAAATATAAGTAAATATATTAAGCATAATATATATATAAACAAATATAAATATTTATAACAATAAATCCGAAACGGTACTCCGAAATGCACCGGTATCGGTACATACAACACCAATAACAAAACAATAACTGACCGGTTCAGTATTCACAACTTTGATAGCCATGCCAGAGGATACAATACAACACAAAAAACAATAGGCCTGGACTATTCAAGTAAAAGAATGAACAACAAAATTGTTTATTTAAGGAATTCCTAGTCCAACAAAATTGTCCATAGTGCCATAAAGAGTTCAACACACCATGTATCCCAAAAATTCTTAGAAAGAAACCCACCAATCAAAATTTTGAGCTTTTATAAATGTGAATTACAAACAAACCTAATGTAAGTCTGAAAAAATAATGGTCATAAAAAAGCAGTGCTCCAAGTATAAATAACAAGATTCATTGGAAAAACAGCAAAGCCAATAAAGAACAGAAAATAGATTGAGAAGCAGTTGGGTAAGAACAAATTGAATTCAAAGCAAACAAAAAAAAGGAAAGAACATCCAGATGACGTGTCACTATACCAAAGATGATGTATGCACCTAAAACAGATTAGCAATGACCACAAATCTAGCACCTTCAACTAAAAAGAAAAATAAAAAATAAACAACTTAAACTACACAAAACTCAGCAATTGGATTTTGGGATGACTAAAACAAATGCAGTACCTGAAAATGAGAGCTATTGAGGCAGCGTCCAATCTGACGGAAAAGAGGAACCATGCATCGCTGAAATTCTGCAGCCTGGGTGGCCTCTAGAACTTCCTCTAATTCGCTGAGGAACATCACCTCCTTCGAACTGTTAGTTATGGGCCAATACTTCAAAAGACCCCGAATTACTGTGTCGGCTAGCTTGACATCTTTCTCCACAAACTGAGTAATGCAATATGAAAGTTGCTGATGGTACATGGCTACACACTTGGGCTTGTGAAGTGGAATCAATGCGCGGACAAGGAAAAGCTTGTGCTCTTCCTTTAAAGGCAATGCAAACCCATTTATTATACTGCCCAATATCTCAAGCAATTCCGCGATCCCATTGTGCTTCTCTGTCTCAAAAATAAAAAGGTAAAAGATATTGTTGATAGCTTTCCGAATGAATGGCCTATGCACCATAAACTTGCCATAAATGCGGTGAAGAATGGTCTTCAAGTACTCCCTCTCTCTTTGATCCTCAGAGTCAAACAGGTCCAACAATCGCAACACAAATGAGTGATCTACATATCTTTTTGCAAGCTTGGCATCGGTCTCTGCCGAAGCCACAAATCTAAGCAGAAATTCATATACTATTTGAATATGAGGCCATGACGGTTCCATAGCCAGTTCCTCCTCTTCTGCATCATACACATCAGCTAACTTGTTGTCATGATTAGTAGATGAAAACGTTCTGAATAAATTGGTGGCTACCATTTTTGTAATTTCCTGCATAGTGACCTCATTGAACTTGGAATTTACAGAGGAGATATAATCGACGAGCTCAAGCAATGTCTGTCGCTTTATATCCTTCTCTTTGATATTCTTCGACGGGTCACTAAAATCAAATACAACACAACACATTTTCAACTTCCTAATGAAAAGATTATGCTTTTCCGAGCTCGGAACATCACGAAAACTCGGCAATGCTTCATATGTGACGGGATTCGACACAGGACCCATTTGGGTAGCCAAGAGACCAGATTTCTTCCCTTGATTTGATTTAATCAACGACGCCGGAGCATAAGTCCCATTGCTAGAGCGCGAAGCACCAGAACCCAAATTTGAAGATTTGCCAGAAGCAGAAGTGCCTTTCGAGTTGCCGTTGAAACCGACTCCAACGGAATTCAAATTCGATGAATTCAGGGTTGAAACCCCACCATCATTGTTCGAATCATTGTGCGATGATTTCGACGATGGCTTCCGAGGAAGCTTACCCAGTATCTGCTTAATCATATCCACAAAACCCTAACCCTAATGCTAAAAACAATCCCTTTTGAACAACAGGAACCAAAATTTCCAATTTGAAAATGCCTTAAAACACATACATTTTTAAAGATTGAACAAACACAAGGGATTGAAGGTGTAAATACAAATTTATACAACAGAAAAAAAAAAAAAAAAAAAAAAACTTTAATCGGCAGTTCAAACCTTGGACCAATGAATCACAACACCAGACTGAAATTGTGTACGTCGAATGGCTTCTAATACGAAGTCCCGACTATGCGATTCACAGTGGCTTCGGAATCAAATGAATACGAAATTTGAATTGAAAGCACCGAGCGAGGGATGAAGAGATTGAAGAGAGAGCATTGATGGTACGATTGAAGATCTGTGAGAGAAGATACGAAGAAACCTAAAAATGGAGCTCAGGGATTGGACTGAAACACAAAATTGAAACCCTAATTACTCTCTCTCTCTCTCTGTCTCTCTGAATCAATCTTTCCACGGACACAGTTATTTTCGAGACGTTGAGAGAGACAGAGAAGAGGAAAACAATACTAAAATAATTAGAAATGGGTGATAATCAGAAAAACGAGATATTTGCCTAGTATAATATCTACTTTTTAAAAATTACTGGTATAGGCTTAATCTCAATTAATTTATAGGACAATATTACATTTTCTAATTTATTACCATTAGACCATCTCTAACGGTTCACTAAATCTGTCATCAAATTTAAAATTTGGTAAAAAAATTACTTTTTGAAACTTCAGTTTCACTAAACTGGTATCAAATTGAAAATTGAACAAAAAAATCATTAAACTGAGAACATGATACAGATTTCAGAAGATTACTGTTTGTGACCGTTGGATGAGAAGAACCAGTCAACCAACCGGTTGCCCGACCGGTTGACCACGAAAAGGTTCAAACAGTTCAAATGGGTAGGGTCAAACAATTCAAATATATATATATATATATTTTTGCCTTACCGGTCGACCACTAAAAGGTTCAAACAGTTAAAATAGGTAGGTTCAAACAATTCAAAAAAAAAATATTTGCCTTACCGGTCAACCAGCCGGTCGACCAACCGGTTGTCCCTAGAGCAGATTTGATGAAAATCAACCATTGGAACATTCTGTATCAAATTGAGAAAATGGTTATTTTTTTACTCAGATTTGGTGAAAAATTAGGTGACCCGTTGGAAATGCTCTTAGATGATCTCTAATGATATGATATTAAAATAAAAAATGTTAGAGATTTTAAAAATTCTATCAAATGTCTCACATGGCTGTAGGATCCACATAGGACCCACATTGTGTGTGTCCCACACTCATTTGAAACATTTGGTAGAATTTTTGGGACTTCTAACATTACTCTATTGAAATTAGACTTCATATAATGAAATGTTTGGTAAATTAAAATGTAACACTTGTCACATACATGTGATTGTTAGAGATAATAAATTAAATGTCTCAAATATTTTTTTAATCCACATTATAATTATTTTTAGAGTTAAGCTTTGTAGCTTGAAATGGGAAAAGCCGGAATGCCCCGATCATTTTGACACTCTTTTTTTTATTATTATTATTCTTTTTCCTTCTTCCTTCCTAAAACTAATTTTAGAGAAACAGAGAGAAACAGAGAGGTGAGAGAAAGAGGAAGATAGGAGAAGAAAACAAAGCGTCGGGGCCATGGACGAACCACTCCCCAACCCAACCCATACCATGTTTGCAATGTAAGCAACTCCAAATGCGGTGGGTTTGATTTTGATTTTGATTTTGATTCTATGGGTTTAGTTTTGATTTTGGGATTGATTTTTTATTTTGATTTTGGATGTTGTAGTGGTGGAGCAGAAAATACAAAAGAATAAGAAGAAATAGAGGGGTGGTGGAGCAGATCTGTGTATACACAGATCTAACCAACACAGATCTTGTTTTTCTTTTTTATTTTTCCTCTCCTCTCTGCTCTATCTCTTTCCTTTCCTCTATCTTTTTTTTTTATTCTGAGTTATGGAAGAAGAAAAAAAAAAAAAAAAACAAAACAAAGGCCCAAGATTTCAAAAATCCAAAAGAACAGGAATAAGTCATTTGGAACTTTTTCAACAAACCTAAACACTATGGCCTTATTTGGGAACCCTCTATTTTAGTCAAAAAGTCAAAAAATTACTAAATTAGTCAAAAAGCCAACAACACATACAAAAAAGTCAAATATTCTCTTTTTTCTCTACTTTTTGCACATCTTTTCGTAAAAAGCCAAAAAGTCATCCCAAACATACTGGTTTTTTTTAACTCATATTTTAGCCAAATAGTCAAAAAGTTATTAAATTAGCCTGTTTTCAAACGAGGCCTATATTTCAAGTCAAGTCATCAACTTGAACCTACAGAGATAGATACACACATTTATATATATATACACATTCACAGACATATACAAATATAGAACTGTTAAAGACAGAGAAGGAAGACAAAGACGGAAAGAGAAAGGGGAGGAAGAAGGAAGGATAAAGAAAAGAATATAAAAAAAAATAAAAATCGGGCCATTCGAGCTATGGATTTTTCGAGTTACGTAGTGGGGTCGTTATTTTTATTTTCGCTTCATAATAGTAGGAGATTAATATTTGATAAAATTTAATGTGAAGTAAAAAGTCTAATGATAAATTTTTATTATTTTTTTGATCGGATTAATTAATTTACTTGAAAATTTAATTCACAACGATTTACTTATATAATTATGGTCATAATTTCTTTTTAGTGGATTGAAATCTAATTATAATGTTATGTTTGGTTAGAGAATTTAGAGAGAGATTTTAAAAAAACAAAAAAAATATATAAAACTAGATAAAATATAAATATATTTTATTTACATTTTACCTAATTATGTAAGTAACATAGTAGAGTTAATTAACCGCTCAACTTCTATCATCACAACTATATTCAAATTTTTAGACAAAGACTAGACCATAAATTTTTAAAAATAAAAAGTGACCTTCATTGCAATTTGTATTTTGGGTTATTGGGTAAATATCAGACAAATAAAAATTAAAAAATTTTATTTACACACCACTAAATCTCTTAGCATACATCATTTTTTTAATACACACCACACATATTTTCAATTCTTTAATTTCTTTGCATTTCACACCATCAATTTTCAAAAAATCCTAAATTATTCCCATCTTCTTTAACACTTCAACTCTCATCCCAAACTCTAACCTTAACTATCACCGCCAGCCGCTACCCCCACTCCTACCTCCACCCTAGCCCTTACCCTCATCATCGTCGCTTACTCCGGTCAGCCTCTCTTTTCTTTAGCAAACCCTAACCCTAACCACTGCACCATCGGTTGCCAGTCGCTACATACTCCCTCACAGCATCCATCACCTCTCATCATAGCCTCCCTCCTCTCCCACCGCAACCGGCACTTGTACAATTCTTCTCAACCATGTTGTCCTTCCACCGCCCATCCTCCCACTCTACCACCCTTCATCATTCATCTTCTTCATCTTCTAGATTTGAAAACCCTAGGGTTTTCTTTCTCTTTGCCTCTCTTTCTCTTTCTCTTTCTCTCTCTCTCTTTGCGATAGAGAAAAGTAGGAGCGGCGTTGCAATGGAGATAGTGGGAAGATAGCTCGCGATGGTCAAGGTGGAGAGGTTGGATTATACATGATGATACGGCTGAGAAGCAAGGCTTTTTCACGATGGCGAGGACGGGGTTGTTTGCGGTGGTGGAAAGTCGCCGGTGGCTGCGATAATGGCTATAGAGGGTTATAATTGTGGCTAGCGAGGGCAATCAAAGAAATCGTTGGTGAGGGGAAGTCGCCATCGAAGAAGTGGTTGTATGGGTAGTGGTAGCCCCCACAAGAGGTAGTGGGACAACGAGATATAAAAGCTATGGAGGTTGAGATGGTGGTTGGGTACCGGTGACAGTGGCCGAAGGTGGAAAGCTGGCAGGGGGTTGGTAGTTGGTGGTGGTGGTACCCTATGAAGAAAGATGTGTATTGAGAGTCTAGGGTTTAGAATTATGTCCAAAATGGTAATTTGATAAATGGATATAAGTATAATAAAAAAAAATTATGGAAATGATGTGTATTGAGAGTTTTGGTGATGTGCAAATAGAATTTTCTATAAAAATTTTGGCTCTTAGAAAAGAGGTGCAATGCGATGGTTTTGGTATGGCTTATTTAGAGGTTTTTTTTTTTTCCTTTTTATTAAAAGATATGTAAAAAAATAGAGAGGTAATGTGACAACCTATAGAAAATAAATTGTTTATTTGTGATGTTGCCAAACCACTTCTGAAAGGGATAATTTAAGTAGTTGATAAACTATTTCTAAAATATTTTATTATAATTTTACTTAATAAAAGCAAAAAAAAAAAAAAGAGGAGAAATTACCACTTGGTGGTAACTTTTAACAATTATTACACATTAGTGGAAAAATTTATAATTGTAATTATTAATATTTATTACTTATTGGTAATTAGTTTTTCTTATTGCCTCTGGATGTTGTTTTCCCAAAAAAATAAGCATGTTTAATTAAAAAGGGAGTGAGAATAATTTCATCAAAAATAAAAGAAATGGTTTTGGGGAGACACTTTGCTTGTGGATTGTTATATATAACAAATATATCTTGTAAAGTATTTATTTTTTATTATAGAGACAAGGGCAAATGAGGAGTTTTCACTCAAATGCTAACAACTATATATAGGAAAGAAGATGAAATAAAAGGAAATATGTATAAGTTTTTCAAAGTCAAATAATAAGAAAGAAAGAAAGAAAAAGTATTTTCTTCACTACAATGTTGGTTCATTGATAGGGAAAAATGGAGAATTGCAAATGGGAATAAGTAAAAATAATGGTAAAAATATAGAGGTGCAAAGGTCTTAATTTTTACACAAAATATAAGCTTGCTTGTATCAGAGCAAAATTTTTAATCGTATTTTTATAATTATTTTTCGTCAACTTGTAGATTTCAAAAAAATAGTGGACCGAATGATTCAATTCAATAACAATTGTTAAATAACACAATTGGGTTGTTAATAATGACTCGACGAAGTCAATACTTCAACACAATGACTAAATTTTTATACTAAATTTATATTATTAGATATGACATCTAACATACCATCTATGCATTAATAGAATAGATAAAAATTAAGATTCATTGTACAAATGAAATGATAACATGTCTAATGATAAATAAATTTAATCACCATAACATTTCTTTTTTTATTCCATCTACACAAAAAAAAAATTGTTCATGAAATCAATTTTCTTCTAACATATCTGTCAACCTTTTTGGAATCATTCTCCATCTAGCCTTAAAGTGGCTTGACCGTGTCAAGTCGTTCACTTGGTCAACAATGATATGCTTCACACGGAAGGCTCTAAATGCACTCTAAACCCACTTCTTCGTGCACTCTAATCATAAATTTGAATTTTTATCTTTTTGAATACTTTAATTAATCTAACCTTCATCCTTTTTCAATCATCTACCGAAGGATCACCTCTATTGCTGCAGCCATCTCTCTCTCTCCCTATTTGTCACCTAGAATCTCATCTCATTCTTATCATTTCCCTTTCGCCCCTCCCTTTCTCGTTGCCTTCTTGTCATCCACACCTCCTCCCACTACCCTTTGCAATTCCGTCACCCTCCACCCCCTGCAACCTCATCAACCTCCGTCCATTCTTCTTCTCTTCTTCTACGTGTTGGAATCCCTCCCTCGCCACAAACCCTAACTCAAACCTCACTTATTGCCTAACCCTCATCTCTGTTGCTATCCCTCATCACGAACCCCATTCCCCGCTGTTAAACCCTAGATTGATCCAGGGTTTAGGGAAAAATGAGAATGATGTGGAGGAGAAAAAAAAGAAGGCGGCGACAATAGACAACGATAAGAAAAACATCAACAAGAAGAATAATGAAGATGGAAATAGAAAATGTAAGAAAGTGGCGATAGAGAAGGAGGGGTACGGACCACTGGTCGAAGTTGAGAAAGGATAGACAGAGAGAGTTGTCGAAGTTGGAAGGGGATGGCCGGAATTAGCTTAGAGTTTGGTTATTTGGGTAATTTCATTAAGGGATAGAATGATATTTTTAACAAAAATTGATAATTGGGGTGTCTAACCTAATTTTTAGGGAAATTCTATTTCCGCACACTTAATTATCTCAGTGCAAATCTTCTCTTAGTACACACACTTATTAATTTAATTATTAATTAATTTTTCCAATCCGCACACTGAAAGTTACAATTATACCATTTACTCATAATCATTGTACACACATCACTCAACTCCCATTTTCACACTTGTTAAGTGACCCCCGCTTCCAAATTTGTAGACCCACATGAACACGATTTAAGACCAAAGTGTGAAGTGAAGGCAAAGTCCTCCATTGAAGACCTGTTAAACCTCCAATACAAACACAATTGAAAACCCTCCAAAAATATTTTTTCCATTTTGTTATTACATTTACCATTTCCAGATCTCTGTGCACTCTATTGCCATAAAACCCTCGGTTTTTTTTTTTTAATTTTTAATTTTAATTTTTTTTTATGTTATTCGGTTTTGGGATTTCGGCACTTGTTTTTCGAAATTACACATTTAATTCGAAACTTAACTACCCAATAAAAGTGATTAGTTCGACAAATTTGTTCCGAAAAAAATAAATAAAAACTTTCAGTAGTTGATATCCGAATATAATGAAATAATTCGGGAGTTGATGTTTGATTGAAAATCGCAAAAGGAAAAAAAAAAAAAAAGTTCTGCACAAAAAAATTAACCTTTTCATCGCTAATAGAGTATAGATTTAGAGAATAAAGCAATACGAGAATTGTTATGAGAGTGTTGCTTTGCAAGCAATAGAGGAGTATAAAGTGTGGAATAAGCAAAACGACAACAATGAAAAAACTAGGATTTAGTTTTTGGTTTTTATTCAAAAGGTGTACATTGAATTTTTTTTGTTTGTTTTTAAAAGATATGTACAAAGAATATTTTTATGTAATATTATGAGTGCTAGTAGATGTCTATTATGATCATTTTAATTTATGATATAATTGCCATTAAAATGATATTTCATTAAGTGTGTGTACTGAGATAATTAGGTGTGTGAAAATATAATTTCTCTAACTTTTAGGGTGCATTTAGAGACATCCACTTTACATGTACAAAAATAAAGAGGTAAATTATATTTGATCTCTTTGAGATTTGAAAAAAAAATGTAAGCAATTTAATAATTTTGATATAATTATATTGATATGTCTTTTAATGTCAAAGCGATAGAAACTAATACAAATATTAGGAAGGCACAAAGATAAATAAGAAAATATACAGTTTACTATAAAAAATGATGGCATCATTTTCTATGTATATGACCAAATCATTATTGATAAAAATGAAGTTTATGTGAAGAAAAATGCTTCGGACCCCCACTGGGGGTCGACCCCCAGTGAGGTGGCGTGTCATGATTGGGTAAAAAAAAACTGTTTTATTTATTTATTTATTTATTTTTGAGTTTCAGCCAGTGGAGGCTCGCCACCTCACTGGGGGTGCGACCCCCACTGGGGGTCTGCAGCATGGTTGTTTATGTGAATCAAAACTTTTAAGGAATGTAATATAATTATGTCAAAATTATTTGACTTGTTATTTATTTTATTTCATTTTTAAACCACAAGAGAGATCATTATAATTTATCCAATTTTTTTTAAAAAAAATGAAAATAAAACACTTCATTTGACACCAAACTCCCATGTCCAAAAAGAAAAAGTTCTCTTTTTCACTATCAGAAAACAAAAAGCAAAAGTTATTTGCTTGGGTGATTTCTTCTGCTTAAGGTAACCCAAATACCCTTTTACCTACCATTAGGAATTGAATTCACAAGTATATAACAATTATCGCCTTGTTATTATTAAAAACTGGACTATTCTCTCTAGTCTTATTTGAGGTTGTGATGCTTATTGATTTGTTATATTTTTATAAGTAAATCATTTATAAGAAAAAAAAATTAATTTAATGATTGTAATCACGTATGTTATCATATTTATTTTCAAAAAAAATGAATGAATTATTTTTAAAATCACACATCATCCATCTTTTCAAAAACAAATGTAATAATTTATTTATAATTATTGATCTTTTCCTTTTGTGGATAGTCTATATGAAGAGCTTAAATTATCAATAAATCAAGTCATTCAATTGGATTTGTAACGCAGTCCACTCCTCTTAGAAGACTTGAGATAAGTCGATTCCAAAAAAAAAAAAAAAAACTACTTTAATAATATCTATATGCATTTATGAGACGATTCTAAACGTTTAATAAGCTATTGAAAAATCTTCTTGGACAATTCTGATTTTTATGACTTTGCTGTGAAGTTTTTTCATTTTTTTCTTTTTCCATAAGATTTGTTAGTGCCATTTTGGGAATATAAGTAAAAAGTCTAAAAACGTGACTGTCAAAAATGCAACAAAATTTCTTTGGGAAGTGCCAAAAATGCAGCCCTAAAATTACAAATTAGAGCCTATGAAAAAAAAATAAAAAAATAAATCTCTTGTGTTGAGTAAAAGTATTTTGGTCATTTTAATTTAATTTGACACCATAAATAAATATTAAACTAAAAAGCAAAAAGTTAGCTTTTTTATCAATTTTTCAAATCACTTCCAAAAAAGTCAAAAAATTTGGTAAAAAGTCAAAAGTCAACTTTTTACCAACTTCCCAAAACAATATTTGTTAATTAACTGACTCAGATTTATGCTGCGTTTTCCCTTTTTCTTTTTTCGATAACTTCATTATCTTTTTATTTTTCCCTGTTCTTTTTTTTTTTTTAATATATAAAATAGTGAGTTTGACTTCTTAAAAGGAAAATGAGTGAGAGCACTAATTAGTGCTATGACTAATGATGTGACAGTGGGTCCCACCAGGAATGATTTGATGTTTTGGCCTTGGTGTTGTATTTTTTTTCTTTTTTTATTAAGTGCCATGTCATTAGTGATCTTTTTAGAGCTCCAAAATTAATGGTCTCTATCATTGTTGCTTGTTAAAAGGCTCTGAAATGTCATAATAGTGAGTCCAATAGACCCGTGACTTTGTAGCTGGTAATTCAATCAAGTCAATTTTCAGCAGTCAACTTGGCCACTCTATTATTATCTTGTCCACTACTTCATTTTAAATCCCTATTCCAGACTCACAGATCCGAACCTTTATATCATAAATTTCACTATGAATATACAAAAAAAAAATCAATTTCATTAAATATGAATAAATAAAAAAATCACATTTTCTTTTAAATAAACGGTTTAAGTATAAATTCATTGTTAAAATTCATTATAAAAGATAAAAAAACAATTTGTTTGTATCAAATAATGTCTGATGAGACTTATTTTTTATATAATTTATCTTTATTAGTGAGCATAAAAGTTGAACGGTTCATATCCTCGTCCTCACGAGCTCCACAAAATAGAGTGAAGAATAAGTGTATGGAGGATAATTGTATGGGAAATCCATTTCCCATCTTACTCTGATCAACCAAGTGGGATATCCCTGTCACAGTTTTTTTTATTTTTTTTTGAAGATAACATTTTTTTTTTCTTACTTCAAAAACAAAACATAAATGTTAGCTCACAGGCATTTCAAGTTCACTTATAGTGTGTTTTTTTTCCTTCAAATCCAACTTAATTTGTTTGCCTTTTTGAACTTTGTCTCAAAAACTTACCAGGATTCTCACCCACCAAAAAAAAAAAAAAAAAAGACTTGCCAGGTCAAGCTCAAAAAGATTAATAAGCTTCAAAAAAATATTTAAATTTGACTTGTTTTCATAATGAATAGCAAACTCTACTTTTAACGAGACTTATATATAGCTAGTCCGTTTTACCACCATAAATTTTACAAAATTTATTGGGCCAACCACAATGCCAATTGATTTATATTTTTCTAAAAGCAAAATAAAATTTTAACAGATGATAAAAGCCATATCATTTTTGGTACTGTCTTAATATGTTTATCTAATAGTATACCCTGTCTCTCTAACCATGGCAATACACACTACCCACTGAACCTCTAGCAAACTGGTCCCAACTTATATGCAGCCTGCAATTCTGCCTCCGGCACAGTTTCCAGAACTCGAAATATATATAAACAGTTGACAGTCTAAAAATAATAATAATTGGAATACAATTTTGTAAAGCATCATATGTAGATAATGAACAACAAAAACAGAGGCTACACTTAACAATCTAGAGAACTTGCCCTAGCTATGTGTTACACCCTATATAACAAATGTAATACCATCGTAGCAATGCGCCAATATCAACAGTGGCATAGAGTGGTGGTCAGTCTGAATAAAATCACCAGAGGCTAAAAACCAAACGAAAATGAGCAGTTCAATTCGTCAAATCAACAATTAGTTCAACTACAAAATCTTGCCCATAATATTCTGAAACCACCACAAAAACTAGAACAAACTTGCTAATTGTGCAGACAAAAAGCCTAATCCTATAAGTAGAATAAAATTGCATCATCAGAAATCAAAACCACATTTTCTTCTTTAAATTGTAATATGCATCGAAAGCTTGATCTGCTAGTGCAGACTGCACAGCCTTATCATATCCCCCATGCAACGTAGCAGTCAATAATTCACATCAAAGTTTTGAAATCCACCCCTTCTTTCTCTTTTCTCTCCCTTTCTTTCTTTTCCCTCCAAAAAGAGGAAAATCAAAACAAAATTTGGGTGGGGACTGAGTAAAACAATTACTATGCTATTTGCATATACAGAATATAACCAGCAATAAGCATATCACAATAGATTCAAGTTCGATTCTTAATAATTTAGTTTTAATGTGTTTTAATGACTCTGCACTTCAACAAGTCGCTGCCATTCCCCCCCCCTTTTTAGTGCACGAATAACAAACATTTATATATAATTTGGTTCAACATGGAAAATTAAGAAAACCTCTGGTTTGTGCAAGCACAGTATCTTCTCTGCACTGTACAATTTCCACAAACACAACAACAATACTGCAGAGCTAATACACAATAAAATGAGTACCTCCACAGCAAGCATCGTGATTGGTCACCTCTTCCTGCGTTTTGGCTCCACCTAGAATTCAGATCAGAGACAATGCCCCATCAAAAACTAAAAAATTGATCATTAATATAACAGAAACCACAGGCTGAGCAACATTTGATCAGATATCCAGAAATTCATGAAACATGAATTCTGAAAAAAATATTATTTAATTATATACAGAAAAGACGAAAACCAAACTTCAACTTAAGTGAACATTAACAGTAAGGTTGGGATTGATGAATTTTGCATAATAACGATTTGTTCTTAACAGTAAGTGATCGGATTTGTTCTTAACATAAACAGTAAGTGATCAGATTTCCCTATTTTTCTTTTTTTAAACCTCTCATTGAGAACTTCAAAGGATCAAAATTTTTTAATTTCTTCTTTCAATAGAAGGAAATACACTGTAATAATGTTTTGTTCACTATTGACATTACCACTGCTGAATATGTAACAATCAATGCCAAGGTTTTATACAATGCTTAGTTGACTTTCCCTTGACTTGGCAGGTATCCTGCAATCACACAACGCTATCAAAATCACTTCTCCATTTCATCAGTCCAAGTCCATGCACATTTTCCCTTCAATCTCCCTTTTCTTATGGAAAATCAGTCCATAATGCTGGAAATGACCACTCCTAGGTATCTCTTGGCCTTTGATTTGTAATAAACTTCCTAGATTTACTTACAAAGTTAACAGTAACATGTTCTCTGTCAATCCTACATAACCTAAAACCTCCAAGGTCTAGTGTGGCTTTATAGTTTTTTTTTATAGTTATTTTATGGGTGACTTTATAGTTCCAGTCTCTTAAATATGCCTAGTAAGCTGAAATATAACCAAAGCAGAAACACAATGACACAACCAAATTTCTTAATGAAGGCTATTGTCATGAGTTACATGTTGTGTTGCCCATTCTCACACTAATTACTGCTTGATGATAGATGCCCTTAATCATCTCAGTATAACTTATCAAAACTCCCTTCGTTCTAAATCATCCTTATTAACACTCACTCCTTATTTTTCCAAATCCTACCCATTGGCACCTTAATCTCATGAACATATGTTTCTATTACATCAATGAAACTAGTTATTCAAAAGATTGAGAAATGTTGTCAAATAGAAAATGAGGCTTTTTCAATAAGATGTCAGTCACGAGAGTTTTGTTACAGACTTGGTTTGAAAATTCTTCCTCGTGTGCTTTTTTATGAGCTTCAAGATAGAGAACATTAAAAGAATCATTGGCAACTTTCATGAATATTGTCAAACTAAAAAAGTAGACAGAGCTAATCCAATATGAAACATAGAAACAATCCATTATTACATTGAAACCTATGGTCAAAACCTAAGATGGAATACAACTTAATTCATTGCCCTTTTAGTAACCATACAATTGGCATGACAGGCCAGAATATGGCATTAATGTATATCACATTGATCTTATTAAGGTTGTTGGCTTCATGTGCTTTGTGTTAGATTAATACTCGTCAAAAAAATGTGCTTTGTGTTTGATTAATACTTATCAAAAAAAAGTGCTTTGTGTTAAATTCATAAGACCAAATCATCATCATGTCATCACTTCACTCCCTCCATTTTGCTGCATCAACCAGCCAAAGGCAAACATTTAAAGATAAACAGGTAGTAAACAGTAAGCATCCCAACAACAGGCAGGGTAGACAATCTTTTATTCACACCCCAAAAAGAATTGCAATCAAATCCACCTATGACAGGAAATACATGGAAAGATAGTTTGAATTTAGCAGTGCAATAAGGTTATTAGATTCGTTTTTTGTCAAAACTTGATTCTTTGCTGAAATTATGTTATTTGTCTTTCATTTATTTATTTTTAATTTAAATTATTAATCTTTGTAGAAATATCTAAGTAAACAACTCCACATTAAAAAACAACTCTACCAGATAAGCCCACTAACCCTTTTACACACACACTCGCATGTCATGAGTAAAAACATTATCAGATTGCAGTCGTGATTAGCCTTGCCCCATTTGGTGTTGCTTACTGCAAGGTGCTTCTGTGATGCAAGACAAGTGAAGGGAGGACCTCCTACTAGTACTGAGCCCAAAACTAGTATGATGATTTTGGACTTACTAATTGTTTTTGTGGAAAAAAAAAAAGAAAAAGGTGGCAAAATGATAAAGGCTTTTAGGGTTTATATGTAACAATAAAAAGCAATGAATTAGGGAGTGAGAAGACAAGGTTTTAGAGGCTGTTTGTGAGCTGTTCTGGGCACTGCAAACAGTACTCATGAACAGTAAATTAGTCTGTTTTGTCTTATTTTGCAATCTAGGGTTGAAGGATTGAAAACTATGAAACTTGAGGGTTGAATAAGGGGTAACACAGTTTCGGTTTTGTGGATTTAGAGGCTCAAAGTGCAGAAAATTAATAAAAGAAGAATAAAAGTTTAGGTGTCATGTCTAAGATTGAATTGTATCACACAATCATACAGTTTTTTTAAAAAAAAAAAATCTTGATATCTTATAAGAACTTCACAAATTCTCTAAAACACAACTCTGTATAATCAGAAATATTACATGGTTTTATATAGACTCAAAGTATCTGTACGGGGAGGAAATATTCGTCGCCTTCTGTACTCTTTGCGTCCAAGCTCTGTGTCGCTCCGAACAACATCATTCAGCCTGCAAGCACAACGACGGTGAGCTACCCGGCGGTTGTGATGCCGGAAAACCCCCTCTAACAGTCAAGCTAGCACCTTTAGAGAGAGAAGATAGAGCCAAAAGAGACAAAAGAGAGATAGCTCTTATAGCTAGAATTCAGATATGTTGCATGGAAGCGCCACACAGTTTATATAGTTTCCGCGCGCACCACTTTGCTTATCCTTTCCTAGACACGTGGATGTAATATCCTCTCTTCGTCTTACACGTGTATGCGACAATAGAGCCAAACAGCATCGACAAAACAGCTTAACGGTATTAATGTGTATGGATGGTGGGATCTTCTCCTTAACTCCTGATTGGGCACATGGCAACCTCTGCTGAGATACCTTAGCGCGATGCTACGATCCACCTTTGGAGCCGCGCTATTTGCTCGGTCCTGTCAAGTACCAACAACAATGTTTGACCGAACTCTTTAGCTCGATCGCTCCCATGCTAGGCGGAGCCCAATTCAACAAGGACAAGTCCCGTCCAAACGCAAAGCTCGGTCAAGTACATAACCCCAATAACCTTGGCCTAACCCACTCCGAACCGTTCTATCTCGGACATGCAGTCCCCAAATCTGGCCGAAGCCCAAATTAGCTCAGCCCATATGTTTGGCCTAAATCCCCCTCTCAGTATCCTACAACTCTCCTAAATCAAATAAAAACATATAGAAAAACTTAATAACCATAACTTGACCCATATCACAAACCATGAGCCCTATAACCCATGACTAGAAGATTATGAAATTAGCAAAATACAACTAATCTATGCAACATTAGGAAACATATAATAAAATAATCCTGAAATAAGATTTAGCTAAGTCTTAAAACTTGTCTATACATGGTTCCAGTTAGTTCCAAGTGAGTTAGGCGTCAAACTAACCAATTTTGAATATTGCCACTTCTTTAACTTTATATATATATATATACATATCTTCATTTGGTTTGTTTTATTCTGATTACTTTAATAAATTAAGAATAAAAAATGAGTTTGGCAAAGTTAATCTTTCGACTTGCACTATGATAAAAGTGGCAATTGCTTGCATGATCATATTTCAAACACTTTCAAGCAACCTTGTTAAACTCATTTGCTGCTGCCTTTTTTAGCACTTTCCAATAAGCTCTAGAACTCCAAATTGGGCCTCAGTTACTAAGAAAAATAATGAGATATACATTCCATCAATGTTATTACAATGAAAACAATGGAACAATGGGTAACGTAAGGCAAAAGCACTCATTATAATGTCTGCATTACCCTCACTTGACAAGGCCAGGACAGAATTATATTGGACAACCTATCTTAAAGTCAAACGCAATTTAGACATTCAAGTAAGAGCCCAGGACAGATAGATAATGACAGCATGAGTGCTGATCTACAATAGTCTTTTTGGTAAGGTTAAATATACATGGTATGGAAAAAAATGGCATAAGGAATCAGCCTCAGTGACAAAAGAGAAAAGAGAAGAAAAAGGAGTCTCTTTCTCTTATAATAATGGCGGACTGTTATCAGATGTTGAAGAAAAAGCTTTAATTGTTTAATTGTTTTTGTGGAGGAAAAAAAGGTGATAAAAAGATAAAGGCTTTTAGGGTTTATATGTACCAATAAAAAGCAATGATTTAGGGAGTGAGAAGATAAGGTTTTAGAGGCAGTTTGTGCGCTGTTCTGGCACTGCAAACAGTACTCGTGAACAGTAAATTAGGCTGTTTGGTCAAATTTTGCAATCTAGGGTTGAAGGATTGAAAACTATGATGCTTGAGGGTTGAATAAGATTAAGGAGCAACACAGTTCTGGTTTTGTGGATTTAGAGGCTCAAAGTGCAGAAAATTAATAAAAGAAGAATAAAAGTGAAGGCATCACACCTATGATTGATTGCATCACACAATCTTCATATATCTTAAGAAAACTTCACAAACTCTCTAAAACTCAACTCTGTATAATTACAAGTATTACATGACGACTCAAAGGAATCCTACAACTGCCCTGAACCAAATAAAAGATGTATAGAAAAACTTAATAACTTGACCAATATTACAAACCATGAGCAACCCCTATTGCTGTAACCCATGTCCAGAAGATTATGAAATTAGCAAAACACCACTAATCTATGCAACATTAGGAAAAACATATAATAAAATAATCCTGAAATAAGACACAGCTAAGGCTTAAAACTTGTCCATACATGGTTCTAGTTTGTCCCAAGTGAGTTCGGCTTGAAACTAACCAATTTTAAATGTTGCCACTTCTTTAGCTTTTGCTGCCTGTAAATATACATATAGTCTTCGTGTGGTTTGCTTTATTCTGATTACTTGTAAGTAACAAATTAAGATGAAAAAAAAGTTTGGCAAAGTTACAATTTC